GACTCAGCGGTTACGAGGGTGAACAACCCCAACTTGGAAAAGTTTTTATCGTATACTAGCTTCTACAACAAAAGCCAGGCCGGCAAGAGAGAAGTCGCAAAGGCGGAAGATCTGATCCAAAAGGGCGTTACGGATCAAGTTCTACTCTACAACAAAATTAGTCCAGATGCGTATTTTGAGGCGCTGAAGCTGAACCCAAATCTCAAATTCATTGCGGATTCGGCAGTTGCGAGGAAGAACAACCCGGACCTGGAGAAGTTCTACACGTATGCTACCAAGTACTACAATAGTCTGACTGGCAAATAGAATGAGTATCGATGGCCACTGATACTACATTCACGATCGTTTTGGAGGCTAAATCCGTGATTCTTGAAGGTTTACTCAACTTTCTCAATATTTCTCATTCGTATTAGTGTTCCTAAATCGTCCAGATCTGTGGAACGCTTTTTCCGTAACCTGTCCGCATGGTTCAAAATGCTATTTCCATGACATCGTGTTCGTGGCCTTATTAGTAGAACTACTTATTAGGCTGTTTAATTGTGGAGATCCCTCGCATCAGCAATATACTACGGAACTGCAGACCTTCTAACAAAACGCCCGGTCCATCTCGGCCACGGAGAAGGCGCAGTTTCAAGTACACAGCTCCGTCTGTCCGTCGGGGCCGCCAAACTCGAGATGAAAGCACAATTTACTGGCACCTACACCAAAACACAAGCAAGTAAGCGCAACAACGTCAAAGACCAGAATAACCGCCACTCTACTGTCCACGTTCAACTTTTCGAGTACGTACATGCGGCATGCCGGTGAGACCGCGTGCCAGCATGTAGAACGAGTTCTTCCGGTGGATTCACGGCCTCCGACACCACGGCTGTCATAGCCCACTATGGTGTAGGCATTACAAATCAATATGGACAGTCTGACGACGGCTAATTCGGCGACGGTAGGAATGTATTGTTGTCGTGGTATTGTGTAGAGATGCACACCTTCGAAGATCATCTCAAGCCGTACTGACCAGTACATGTGTACTGTATTATGGAAATTCATCTTGTCAATATGTATTAAATCAATGCTGCTGCAGACAGCAGGTCTATAAGGTATCATCTGCTTGGAGATGGTAATTTAAACCGCGTTAAAGTCACCGTCTAACTTCCGAGTCTCTTTTAAAGCTACCGAACGGAACACTAATCTCTAACAGCACTTCATGGCTGCATGTCCAATACGGACAACATCACCGCGAATGCCAAACAAAAGAGATCAACGCGCGTGTACTATTTTAACTTGAACGGATAGCTGTACCAAGGTACAAAGAATCCATTTATTTGACGGTCTGGAGCAGGTACAACAATCTGGCTCGAGAAGATAACGTCTATTCTCCAAATACTCAACCCACTGTTTCATCTAGAAACTGATTAATGCCGTGTTTTTTTACACGGAGAAGCTCTGGATGTTCGTTCTAGTTTACTGGTGGTATTACTGCAGTCCTAGCAACAAGCTGTAAATGGTTCCTGTTGAGTATTGACAAGGACTACTTACAGTAAGAATAAACTTCCACGGGTAGTGTACTCCGCAGATCTGTAGAAATATTTTTTTTGCAGCTCATCAACTAAATCTTTGCTATTTTATTAATACTCATAATTATATATAAGTAAACTCCTTGAAGTATATACCTGTGTCGGTTATTTGGATAGATCTTCCTTCAGTAAGAACGAGTAGAGCCGATGTTCTACTTAGTTTACTGTAATGTTACGTCGTCGGTGTTGCTGCGCGATTGTTCCCAATAGAGTTGAAACTCAACCTGAACGAAGCAAATGGTTCCACAAAATAAAACTGCCCAAGTATTGCGTTCTTTTTTTTCGACGACTTACAGAGACTGCTGTGAATTCTCAATGTACGTTCGGTAACAATCACATCAACTTGCTTTTTAAGGTCAAGAGTGAGAGCTTATGCGGAGAATGATAAGCCA